GAAAGGAAATCCTGTTCGGTTAATAGGGCTAGCAGCAGTAAGCGGGTGATAACAATGCAAATACAGGAACAACGGAATAGCACTTTCTTTGCACTCAAAATGAGTCTGTGTGAAATTGCGTGGTTAAGCAATTGCCTCTTCAAATAAAGCAATAATGTCCCCCTTTAACGTCTCCCAATTTTGTTGGAAAAATTTCGTATGAAAACCGTATGGCCCTGGAGTTTTATCACCCTTGCAGTTCTTAAGCCCTTCATGAATTTCCTCCTCAGAGAAAGCTTGTTATAAGATACCTACTATCCTGCTTGCTCAATTCACTGAAATCAAGGCCATTAAGAGTGTGTCCCTGCGAAGCTTTTGCAGTATACAACTCAGAAATTTTTAACCCTCTGTGTTAGTTTCTTGTTTGCTTTAACCAACTCGCCCTTAATCTTCAACTTCTCTACACATAATTGCATTTGTATGGTGACTCATCGAGCTACGTTAGAATCTAGTATTTTTGTCTTTTATCCATCTAGTTCTCAATCTTTGTGTCTAGGCAACCTCCTCTCAGAGGGTTAGATTTGCAATCTCAAGCCTGATTCTTTGTATGTGATCAACATCTTCTGCAGAAAGACCTCCTTCACCCTCTAACTGATCCAGCCTCTGAAGCTTTAAAGATAGCTCATCTCTTCTTTCATTTTCAGGTCCTAGTTCCTCCTTACTCCATTGCTTGAACATAACATTGATCTTAGCTAGCTTCTTAGCAACTATAACTTGTAAAACCCTCCATCTCATCGCACCACTTTCGTAGCATGTCATGGAATCTAGACACTTTAAGCCATTCGTTGTCAAATCAAAATAAACGTGGACCCCAAGTTATTAGTCCATTAATCTCTAACTGAGAAAAAGTGATATAATATTGTAAATTGCATAGTTTTTAGCAACAAAGCCAACCATTGAGCTTAAAAAAAAATGGAGATAAAGAACTGTCAATTCTAAAAAACAAGGGCCTCTCCCTTGCATTTGATAAAGTCCACTTGTCACCGATGAGAGGTAAGTCCATAAGGTTCAATCTGTCTAGAATGTCGTGAAACTCGTTAATGCACATCCTCATAAAGCTTTCTCTCGATCTCTCGTAGTTGCTCAAAACCATAGTAAAGTCCCCATCTATTATCCATAGTAATTCCCCTCCTTTTACATTCCTCCAAATCACCTCATAGCCTATCTCTCTCTCTCCCCTCCCCCGGACGATACACCCTAGTGAAAATCCATCTCCGCCTGGTAGCTATTCATTTAAAGATACATGGTGCTGTGTACTCCCCTATGAAGTCATCTACAATTTCCAAAATATTCTTATTGCATCAAATTACTACTCCACTTGCTACCCCAAGAGCAGGTAGATCCTTCCAACCCTACTCCCTAGGTTTCCATGGATAGTCTGCCGCCTGATCATTGAAATTCTCTAGTTTGGTTTCTTTGAAACATATAACATTAGGTCCGATCGTGTCATGCACTCCTTTATTATCATTCTCTTATTCAAATCATTCAATCCTTTCACATTCTATGAAATAATTCTGTTTAACATATTGATACTGATGATGAACCTTCCTTCTCCTACCCTTATCCCTCTTGCATGACTTGTTGTGTTTAATGGACGACTTAAGTCTCCTTAGATCTCTCTCCCTATCCACCCCACTCTTTCTCTTGTTGGCTGATTTTTGGATCCTTCATGATAGTCTCCTCACCTTTTTTGCTGATAATGGACTCAAAAAGATCAAAAAGCTTGATCTTCCCATAGCAGCTCTTAACGATGATGGACATGGAAAACTAGATGTAGTGCCAGACCCTTTTGAAGTTGATGATAGGGCCAAGTTCTCTTTCTTTTCTTGATTGATTTTCGTCTTTTTTCTTGGGATTTGATAATTTGCTTTCAAAGTAAAAAATTTTAGCTCTAATGCAAATCTATATAACACAATGAAATATGGTTTTAAAAGATTGAAAAAAAAAGAACACTGATAAATACAAATAACCATAGAAATTGGCAACATCCACAATTGTAGATGATGTCACAACCATAATACAAAGATGTAAGGCACTTAAGTTAATGAGATTTAATTGATGCAGAAGGACTTAAGTTTAAATTACCTAGAATATGTTAGAGATTATAAGTTTATTGAATATAAAACTATTGTACTATTTAGGAATTTGGTATTATAGTTTAGTAACTTTAGAACTTTATTTTTTAGACAAATTACTAAATTAATCCCTAACGTTTGATACTTAATATAATTTGGCCAGTAATAATTTTTTGTTACAATTCGGTCTATAATATTTTCTATTTATTTTAAACGCTTAGTTTCTGCCATTTTTCTGATTGAAAAAGGTAAAATAGTTAAAACATGTTTGAATACTTTAAAAAACAGCTTGAAAAATGACTATATCTAATTAATTAATTAGTAATTATAATATTAGACCTATTTTTTAATTTTTTTTGAAATATTTAGACCTATTTTTTATTTTTGTTAATTTAGAAAAAATAATTAGATCTATTTTTTTGAAAATTTTTTATTACAATTAAATTAATAAATTGTTACTAATTTATTAATTTAATTGGTTAAAGTCAACTTTATGAGTTAATTTTTTAAAACATACAAATATAAACTAATCATTTTACCTTTTGTGATTATGAAATGGAAGAAAATTGTGCATTTGTAATAAATAGAAAACGTTGCAGACTAAATTGTAACAAAAAAAAAAACATTAAGAATCAAATTATAACGAGTGTTAAACTTTGGGGACTAATTTTGTAATTTGCCACTATTCTTTTTAATACTTAGTCTCCTACTTGTATCCGTGGTATTATCTTCAAATTCTATTAGTATTAGTATTTCACAAAAAAGTATATCTTAGTTTAATCCTAATTTCTTAATTTAATTCTATTTAGGAAAACTATTAGGGAACATTATAAATATTTTTGTAATTTCAGTTTTTAGACATGCTTATGTTATTCAACAAAATACTTGAGAGTTCGTAATTTTATCGTTATGTGATGGAATCAAAATGTTGAGGATGATCATTAAGACTTCTTACGGATGATATAGCTAAAACACTATGTGTAATGTTTACATTTTTATTTCTCAATGCCTGACTAGACAAATTAACCTAATTTGTCCTACATCATAATTAGTAGTTTTTTATTTATAAGCTGTTTGTTCAATAATAATTAATTAAATGTATTAGTAGGGTGTCTGCTATCATAATTCAATTGAAATTCTTTAAGAAAATTATAATAAAATATGACTTTAGCTAAAAAAGAGTGAAATAATAAAATATAATAATCCTATACTAATAAGTTTTATGCTAGTAACACTCTGGGAAAACATTCTTATTTACATGAGAATATTCTTCCCGAATAACTTAGATGATGTCATAGTTATTCTATGATTGGCTCAGGAATGTACTATACCGATGTTTTACCCTTGGAAAGTTAAATGACCATATTAAATATTTCTTCTGCAGCTAGATGATGGTCTGGAGCTATGTTTCACTGACAAGAGGAGATTTGCTAAAGTTCGCTTGCTCAAAGATGTACTAGTAACAGCTGCTCTCTAGTCTCTACTTAATGTTTCCTGAACTTCTCTGCTATACTAGATGTCTAATTTTATTTCTTATTGATTTGGTTGCTACAGCCTACTTTAGTACCTCCGATCTCTGATCTTGGCCCTGATGCTTTATTGGAGCCTATGGCAATTAATCAATTTTCCGAATCTCTAAGCAAGAAAAAACTTTCCATTAAAGCTCTATTACTTGATCAGGTTAGAATTTTTAATTCTATATAATTTCTAAAAGTTTCATGTATTAATCATTTCTGGTGACTTGTGTAAAAACTTAAATGGTAAGTTATGCAGGACACGGTTTCACAATTACACTCTCACATTGCACCAAAAAGGAGATTCAATCCTGGTTCGTCAGGATAAATTTACTGGAAAGATAGAGAAGTTTGTGGCCCATAGAAGTTGTGACAAAGGAAATGAGCTTTGAGTCTGTAGTTGAGTAGGAAGTCAGTTTCTTTAAGCAACAACTAAGAGTTAGAAATTTTTAGGAACCTTTATTTAGATTAGGGAATTAGAACATAACTAGGACTATGATCTCCAGAGTTGTACTTATATTTAGATTAGAGGATTGGAATAGAACTGAGACTATGATTCCTAGAATTCTAATAGGGATCTAAAATCAATTAGTTTCCCTACAAATATACATACTATCATATGAATAAAATCATCAATTATTCATCTAAATAGTTCTTCTCTAGAAGGTCAGGGATTTTCTTAGACGAGCCTCACCATTGGCCAGAAGGTCAAAAATTTTGGAAGCAAGCAGCTATTTAAAGCCTTTATATTAAGAGGCTCTATGACTAGATCCTAAGTCTCTGAGACCGTGAAACTTTGCTCACAAGGCCTTCAAACAATTTAAGACATTCATGAAGCAATGCTAGGAGAATTGTGCCTGCTTGGAAGAGAGGTAATGCAAGCTTGCCGCTCAGCTTCAAAGCATTTCCTAGGGACTTTTGGTCGCAAGAAGGGAGAATGCTGACATCACTAGCATGACAAAAGAGAAGACAAATAAATTGGTTGAATCTAGCAACAACATAAGAGGAAGTGCAGTGCTGCGATTCACAAAGCTTACATTCCTCGATATAATGGCTCAGCTGATTTGTTGAGGCAGATTAACCAATTTGAGCACTTCTGATACCAAATGGCTATTGAAGAAGACAAGGTGGGTTTAGTCTCTTTTCAGCTCGAAGACTATCCCCAACTATAGTTCCTAAAGTTGGAGGAAAACCAACTGAAGCTCTGTTGTGAAGAATTTAAATCTCACTGCAACTTTAGATACATTTTGTTGACACACAGAAACAAATCGGGAGAACTGATTAAATTGAAGCTAGAGGAAATGGTTGTCGAGTACCAGTCCCTTTGAGCAGCTCTCTCGCATGCTCATCCTCGAGTAAGAAGTTCAGATCTTCATCAGCAGCCTCCAGGAAAATATTGTTAAAGTCAAGCTGCAGGAACTGCCCAACATCACCACTACTTTGAGTTTGGCAAGCGTTTATGAGACAGGGCAACTAAAGGAAACTGGACAGCAGCAGCAACTGACAGACATCAAGCTGGTTACCATTCATCAAGAAATAGAGCAAAGAGGAGGTACTAGACAGGACTAAGAAGAGCCTTTGTTTCAACTGCAATAAATTGTTTGTTCCAGGGCATGTGTAAGAAGCTATTCTGGTTGAATTTTGACAGCAATGATGCAAGAAATAAGAAGGAATCAAGGAATGAGAGCGAGGACGATATCTACATCCATGAGATCACTAGAACGGCCACTGCCTAGACAATAAAAAGTAAAGCTAGTGTAGATGGGCTTCCCATGCTCATCTAGTTGATTCCAGCAGCACCTATTGTTTCATCAACAAACAGTAGTATGCCAATTCTCTCTATAGATGGAGCCACATGGACATCTCCAAGTAATGGTATCTAATAGGGAGCGAGTGCAAAACCTTGGATTATGCAGAAAAGTAACAATTACACTAGGGGGGACACCTTCTATATGGATTTATTTATTTTGCCCTTGAGTGTTCTTAGAGTAATTATGGGAGTAAACTTGCCTCGAACCCTTGGGCCAATTCTGTGGCACTTTGCCACAGTGAGGATGTTCTTTAAACATCAAAGAGATCTTATACACCTGTGAAGAATCTAGTCTTAAGGACACCAACAGGGCATGAGGGTCGTAGCACTCTCATCTGCTCAATCCCAACAAGGTGATCTAGAAAAATTACTGACAGAGTTTGGGGCCATTTTTACCACACCTAGTGGGTTACCTCCATGATGCTCTGATGTCCATAAAATTGTATTGGAAGGCATTTTGGATTCAGTAGTGATTAAACCTTAACATTATTGACATCGAAAAGCAAACGAGACCAAGCAACAAGTAGAAAAGATGCTTGGACAAGGAAGTCTCAAGATTAATCAATCGTTATTTTCTTCCCCTGTATTGTTAGTAAAGAAGGCAGATGGAATATGGAGGTTCTGCCTCGCTTATCGAGCTATGAACCAAAAGAAAATTAATGATAAATTTTGTATTCGTCGTTCCTTAAAAAAAAAAAAAATGTATTCCTTGGTGATTTGATGAATTACTCTAGAAATTGCATGGGCCAAGTTGTTCTCCAAATTGGACTTTCATTCTGGCTATCATCAAATTTGAATATATCCAAATGGCATTGAGAAAATGGCCTTCTGCATACAACATGACAATTATGAATTTTTTATTGTACCGTTTAGACTAATTGATGTACCTTGAACCTTCTAGGCAATAATGAACACAATATTCAAACTATACCTATATAAATTTGTTTTAGCATTCTTTGACGATATCATGATGTAAAAATATGGGATTCTGATTTGTAATTAAGTACTAGATTAGAGGGATTCTATTAAGATAGTTTTGTATTTTCTGATTAGAAGTCTCTCCTAATTAGTTACTGTTTCTTGTTCTAGTGCCTAGAGAGATTGAGGTACAGATCATGTGTGTATTATTTTGAAAAATAAAATTGTTTATAGACTTGTTTGTATCTATAATAAAAGAAAGAAACACTATTTTTTTTATTGTATCACAGCACAATCTAAACCACAAATAAAGAAAACAAAAACATTTCCATGGTGAGCAGAGAGGAAGGATCAAACTCGGAGGTGACGTCCAAATCTGAAGCAATTCACAACGGCAACACCAATACCACGCAAGGGCATTTTTCTTCCTATAACATGTCATAAACTCAATGGGCAGAATTATACTCAATGCACCCAATTTGTTCGGATCTACATGTACAGGAAAGGTAAGGAAGAATACCTCATGGGAGTTGTTGTTCAACCAAAGAAGATGATCCAGGATATTGAACCTGGAAATTAGAAAGTAGTGTGGTGATATCTTGGCTAATCAATTCTATGACCATGACATAGGAGAAAATTTAATGTATTATGGCACAACTAAGAAGATATGGGATGCAGCTAGAGAAACCAACTCCAACATCAATAATACCTCTGCGATTTGGAATTAGGGGTATTCTCCATGATCTTCGACAAAGAGATTCAACTGTTTCTAAGTACTTTAGTACCCTTACATGGTACTGTAAACAACTCAATATTTATGAAGAATTGGTATAAAAGTGTCCGGAATATAATCTTCTATATAAGAAGGTCGTTGGACAGGAGTGTATCTAGAAATTCTTGCTTGGTCTCAAGAAGAATTT